AGTCATCTGCAGGCAAAGGAGAGTGGTAAGGCTATCCCCCACTCTTCTTCCATGCCTATGTCTCTTTTTCCTTCTGGTCAGTCAAGCCCTTCATTATAAATTCTGTGTTGACATAGGCATCTGAATGTCTTAGGGTCTCTGGTTAACACTCTGGAAATACTTTGTTATTTTTTAATTGCCATTTATCAAGAGAATTAAAAGTCAGGCAAAATTAATAAAGTTACATTGATTATCATATTGGTACGTCTGCAATTTCACTACTAGGTAAGCAGAGAAAGGATCCTCACATTTTAGGCTATCTTTAACTTAGTAAGGACCAAAAACTCTGAGCTACATACTGATACATCACAGAAAAAAAAAGAAATTTAGTTAAAGGATTTATCAATCATATTCTGAGCAATGTTGAAGGGAGGAGTCTGATGAAATGAGTGGGTAAAGCCGGTAAGTTGTGTATTTTATAATACAATGATGATACAATGAGCATGTTGTATTAGAAACAGACCAGCATGTTTGTGTAGCAGTAATTGCATGAGATGTAGCACTTTCAATGGTGATAATTTATTATATACCCTCAATTCCCTTTATAACTAGATGAAGAAAACACAATATATTATTCCATTCATTATCATTATTATTAATTCTTATATTGCATATTATATGTTACACAGTAAATCTATCTATCTATATCTATATCTATACCTATATCTACCTCTCTCTATATATATATTTATCTGTGTGTCCTACAGAATGCCTGAAAAATATTATAAGAGGCTGCATCAGAAGGCAGTGATTTCAAAAGAAGCCTGAGAGGCAAAAATGGGAAGCCAATGGGATGAAAACAAGTATCATTATTTTATTCCCACAACCCTGATGATGATATACAGGAGGTACATGTTCCTGAGTCAACCTGCAGGGTCACATATTTGAACTCAGTATCAGGGTTGAGTTGAACAGAGAGGGAAAATACAAGACTTTAAAATCCATAGAGGAGAAGTCTAACACATGATACAGATAGATAAATAGTCAGATGAATGAAAGACAGAACTCAACAAATTAACTGATAATAATCTGACTGCAATTCATGTCGGCCATGCCAATAGTGTGGAGCCAAATTTAGCAAAAGCTTCTGAGACAACTACGAAATCTCTACCTCTCAGTCCCTATGATATATATATGGTCAGTTGATGGGTCCCTTGTCATCATAGTTTTTAAGACAGCTTCCTTCCAGGTGAATATGTTACAGACTTTCCTCAGTCTGGTAAGTTTGATGAATATTTGGGCCTGACTTTGCTGGTATGATTTTAATATTTCTATATATTTACCTGGTTCTGACCAAACTATAATAAATTAATAGGGTAGCACTCTTTTTACTTCTATGAATAAGTCATGTTTATGTGTGTGACTCATGTTATTGTTGAATAGGTGATGGTGTTCAGTGATCACCACAGTACAGAGTCATCTTTTCTCTATGATTGCCCTAAAAAAGGAGCAAAATCGTGCTTTCTAAATCAACAGTCTACAGGACAAGTCCATCCTATAAAAGAACTGCTTCATAAGATAGATTGATTTAAATTAAGGAACAGTATGATCTCAACAAAATAGAATAAAAATAATGCTGGAAAACAATGATGCTGGATTTGCTTATTTAAAAGAATACTGTAGGAGTAGCACAATAATGCCCATAATTTATGATTTCAAGGATATACGTTCAAATATTTGTGTTATCCAGTAGATTTCTTAGTTATTGCCAAGCGTTATCCATAGCCTATCCTGTATAGGGAAGCAGGCACATTACCTTGTTTAATGCCTAACATTTTTGTGCAATATGCTGAGCATATGCCTCTGGTGACTTTAAAGCAAGTCTTAGATGAGATGACATATGAGAAGAGCCACAGTTTTTCTTCTTCATATTTCTTACTTACAGGACATGAGAGCATCTAATTTCCCTTCCCCCTGAAAGTCTTGATAGTAAACCACATTTCCCTTCAGCATCCTCTACAGTTGCTTATTATTTACAGCAAGTAACGAAATAGGTAGGAACACTATTGATGACAAATGATAACAATTATGTCCACTTTTCAGCATGGAGATTTACAATATGTATTCAGAGTTGACTGTCTGCTCTTGTTGAGTGTGTATAAAACTGCTTACGTCTAAATTTCCCTACAATCGTGATTGTCATTGTCTGGTCGCTCTTAAGTTGACTGTGTGAATGCTGAAAACTCCTTTTCTACGGGGAAATGATTTCCTGTGCATCATGTTGACTACCATGGAACCAAGAGATGATCTTGTCGATCTCATTGCAAACTCAAAAGACTTTATCCTGTGGTGCTTTTCAGAGCATGTATCTCGCAATTGAAGCATTTCATGACTTCCAGAAACAGAAAGAAAATAACACCACTTGATCCTGAGGCTAGTCATTGTATCAGGAATCTTAAAAGTTCTTATTAATAAAATCAAACCCAAGGCCAGTTATTGGGGCGAATACTGGAAGGTCAGAGAGACAGAACAAGCCACAGCTATCTCACCTCACCAGTTCCTCAGCTGGTCCTGTTTCCTCAGACTGGAAGCCTCTGAGTCCTCATCCAGAATGAACCCCAGCTGAACTGTGCTGCTTCAAAGCCTGAAAGCTTAACCAGCCTAATGCTTAACCAGCCAAATGCCTAACCAGCCAAATCCTTAACCAGCCAAATGCTTCTAGTTTCTGGTCCTCACGCCTTATATATCTTTCTGCTTTCTACCACCACTCTCTGGGATTAAAGGTGTGTGTCACCATGCTTGGCTTTTTCCAGTGTGGCCTTGAACTCACAGAGATCCAGAGGGATTTCTATCTCTGGAATGCTAGGATTAAAGGTGTGTGCTATCACTGCCTAACTAGTGGCTTTTCTGTTCTCTGACCCCAGATTAGTTTATTAAAGTACACGATATTTTGGGGAACACAATATCACCACAAATCATAGTTAAAATGGCAGAAACAAAAGTAGCACTGATGGATGTGTAGAAATACTCAGCATGGGCCCCTGCATTCTTTTTGATCAAGATTCATTTTAGTCATGCAATAGCAGGATTGTCATGTATAAGGAAATGTGACTAATAAAATATATTACATATTAGAAGTCCCTTATTGGGATACAGTATAATTAGTATAATATTTATTCTACTCTTTATATAAATATACAAGATAATTATTACAGTGTACTGACAAGAAAGCTAAATCTTCTAGAATTTTTCAACCTCCTTACACTAGACTCAAACTGGTTTCTTCACTTCTCAGAGCCCAGTCATACTCTTTATAGTGAGAAATTCATGGAGTCTGCTTAAAGGGTAAATTAACTTATTGGGGGAGAAAAACTTACTGTACAGAACAGAATTGTTGCAGGTTCTGGAATGCTGGGGCAAAGTTGCATGCTGCTCTGGCTGTCTAAGTCAGTTCCCTATCCAAGTCCCCCAAAGGAGCAAAGAGAAACTGCCTACGTGCATCTCAAGTCTTAATGGTAGCTCCAGAGGCTTGTTCTTGAAGGTCACAGGCAGGTAGAACAGTTATCTGCTGCATCTCTAGGGGCAGTGCTTCAAGGTCATAGACAAAAGAGCTATCCACTACAACTCTTTCCTCTGTTCCTCAGCTTAGCTGATGGCTAGTGTGTTCAATTATTGAAACATGAGTTATGCTCATTTTCATATGTCTGCAGAATTTGCCCTTCCAACAAGAATTACTCAGGGTGGAGGAAGTTTTCCTCCATGTTCCACTCCCACTGTGCCTGTGTCTGGCCATTAGAGTGAGTCATCCTGAGACAATAAGAGATGATTACCTTTAGTTATATAACAGTAATGCTCCATTGTAGCCCACTGAAGAACAGGTGCTTGGCCATCACTATTCAAGTGCATTGTCTTATGTAAAAAGATCACATGACCAGGCCTCAGGCCCTGAGTCTGGGGCCTTCATCAGCTCTCAGTGACAAAAACCTCAGAAGACAGGAAGGTTCTACATTTTCCACTAATAACTTATCTTCCAGCAGTAGCTGGTCCAGGCCTTGGGACTGCATCAGATATTACTGTGACTCTGAACCTCTCCATTGAGTTCAGTTTGTTAAACAGTGAGCAGGGAATATGGCTTTATCCCCACCCATATTCCCTGTTTATCAAGTATGAGACAATACATTCATTTTGAGTTAATTTCTGATATTGTTTAGTAATAAACACTATATCAATGTGTATTATCTCCCCCTTCACTTTGAGTATTTTTTTCCTTTTTCTCCCTGCCTCTTGAAAATACATATATGGTGGGTGGACAGCAACTTGTCAGACATTCAACCACTTTGAAGAAAGCAAGTATCACTTGTCTCACTTAAAAGTCACCCCTTTGTGCAAATCAAAGAAGGTTTTGACTGTCCTATGGAGATACTAACACGTTATTAGACAACGCATTAACATCTTTCAAAAATCACATTTGCCTTGTGCTCTTTATTTCTCAGCATTAAAATAGACAAGAAGACACTCCAGATATATGAGCACTGTGCTGACAGTCGTCTACCTTGTAAAGGCCTTTGCACTGCTGTATGGTGGCTACACAAAGAGCAAGAAGTGTCTGAAGGGATGGAGAAAAGCAAGGGAGAAAAGACTGGTGTGCTCACGAACAGAAACAGTTGTGACTTAAAAGTTTTCTGTTCCCAGGTTGAGTTATTTTCCTTTCTACTACCTGGAAGAAGAGGGAGGGGTTTTGGAGTTTGTCACTCCTTCATCAGAAACCTCAGAGCAACATCTGTATCACAGTGATAAAATTATGCAGAAGAAATATGCATCTTGGGAATGCTGAAGTATTTCATTTAGGGCTGGCTGAGCTTGAAATGGATTTCAGAAAATGTGGCACCATTCCTTCCTCTGTAATTAGAAATAATTTATACATAGCTATTAAAAATACACAACAAAATCACATCTTTTAATTGCTAACTATTTTATCCAATATACATAAAACATTCAAACCAAGTTCAATTCTGCCTTACCCTTAGCCTTCCTTCCAATATGTTCCATGAGTAAAATGAGATAATTACTAAAATGTACCCTCGAGAATATTTTCTGCAACAATTTCATGTCTTGGGCTCTTTGTGTTTTGCTATTGAGTCTCACACCTGCAGATGAAAACATAAGGAAATTACTGTCTTGATATTGCCTCTGAATTTTGTGAGCAGTTTAGATCAAAGTTTGACATTCTGAGCTGTTTAATTTTCTCGAGGGAAAGAATTTCCCAAGTGGGAGAGCTTCAAAGTTGTATCTCCAGATCCCAAGTCTTTCTGAAACAAATCTAGACCTTGATAAGATTATTTTCAGATACCTCACCACTTGTAGGCAGATAATGAATAAATTGTTTCAATAAGGGCCTTAGGCAAGGATCACAGCCCTAACTCTCTTATGTTCTCTGTGTAGAAATATTGAAAAGTAGTGCTGGTGTTGTAGAATAGCCTTTATTCACACACACACACACACACACACACACACACACACGCGCTCACATGCATGCATGCACACACACAGGCACACGCACATGCACACTCACACACATACACACACACACACACATTTCTGTTATATGTGAAAGATTTTTTTGTATAAATTATACAGTTTCTGATTTGAATAAATATATATGTGTTAATTAATATTTTTATCTATATTGAATTATTTGGCAATATTTTTCAGAATAATCATTGTTTCTCAGAATTATTGCTATAAAAACAATATTCTAATAATAGAATATTGTTAGTCATTGGTCACCTATGTTTCTGTTTTAACTCAGATTTAAATATCACTAAGTTGTTTAAAATGAAATGGTTTTAGAACTCCTAAGTAGAAAGTCGTCTTCAGCAAACTTAACAGTAAAGGGAAAGTCCATGTAATTTACATAATGTATTAAATTATCAAGTAATGAAATAATGTAGTAGAAAATGGTTTCTTCAATTTATTTTGTTTCCAGCTAATGATTTCATAAGCTAACTTCCTAGTTAAGACATACCAGAATTAAATAAATAATATTTTGAAAGGAATGTTCAAAAACATGTATAGCTTATTTAATTTTTGATTAGATGAAGTAAATGCTAAAATGGATTACTTAAATAATAAATATGATACAGATCTTTCATTTTAACATCCTGGGACATTGGGACAACAGATCAGGGATGAAGAGGATTAATGAACCTGCCATGTGTGAACTGAAGCATGGAAGTTAAGAAAATCTAACTAGTACGTGCTCCAAAGGTCACTGTGGAATTTTAGTATGTACATTTAGAAGGACTAACTGTTATTTTAATGATAGAATCCAAGGACATAGTTTTTGGTGTAGTTGGAAGATTTCCTGTGTCCCAGCCTGTCGGCGGTCAGGACACATCTTTCCCACTTGCATCCCCCAAGTAAACAACAGAGACTTACATTAATTATAACTGCATGACCATGACTCAAGACTTTTTGCTAGCTAGCTCTTATATCTTAAATTAGCCCATAACTATTAATCTGTGTATTGCCACATGTTCCATGGCTTTATCTGCATCCCATTACATGTTGCTCCTTGGGCAGCTGGCTGGGATCTCTTCTCTCCTTCTTCCTGTTTCTCTCTTTAGATTTCCCACTTTCCTCTAAGCTACCTTGCCATAGGCCAAATGGCTTTATTTAACAACCAATCAGAGCAATACATATTCCCAGCATACAGAAAGACTTTCCCCCATCACTTCCCCTCTTTTCTGTCTAAACAAATGGAAGGCTTTAAATTTAACCTATTAAAATTACACATAACAAAACAGTTATCAAGTAAGAATTACACTTACAATATCTAGTCTATTTGTATTTTGTAAAATTAAAGAAAATATTCTATCTATCCCACATTTAAAAGTGTAAGGTTTCATATCTAATTTATCTTTTATCATAATCAAGGAAAACTATAATTATAACTATCTTCTCTTCAACTATATCAAAGACCCCAGAAGGATATATTACCTAAGTAAACCGGAAATGCAGTGTAAGCAACTTCCAAAAATCTAGAATGACAGAGACAGCTGGCTACCTGGACAGTCAGCTAAAGTTTGTCTGCAATGTTGGGATATCCATCTTCAATCTATAGGCCTAGAGTTTTTCAGTCACATCTCCTGTGTCCTGAAGAATGTCTGGCAGTCTCCTCTGTGAAACAGTAACCTGAAGGACCATCTCTCATTGTTTTGGCGAATTCAGTGATCATTTTCCTCTGGGTCCTGTATGTCCAGTTTATACAGCATATTATCAGCAGTTAATGCAAGGGCACTCTGTTGCCCAGTGGCTAACTTTTGCCACAATGAAAGTCAACTCCATATACATTTTCTTCAATGCCCATATCTTCTATGAGGTAGATTGGTGCTGTCAGGAGCAGACATGTCTCATAGTTATAAAAAAAGAAAAAAAAATCTATGTTACTAAAACATTTTAAATGTCATATTCTATAGTTCTTATAAGTAGGGAAGATGAGGCTAGAATACCAACACCATTTAAAACATTTTTATCAACAGAATAAAATACTTGAAAACATACTTGTTTGACTGATATGTTTGTAAGTGGGTTTTATTTGTACTCACCAAAAAGAGCTAATTCACAGTGTTTTAGAGAATTTTTGTGACTGTAACCCCCTTTAAATTAAAGAAGTTAAATTACTTAAATGTTGTCTGGTTAGAATTGTGCTTTTGCTTCCTGAAGAGTTCACTTGTTTTATTATTCCACATTTATTTACTGACAAAATAAAGGCCAACAAAAAAACTAGCATTTTAAAGACTTTTTAATTTTTTTGTAAAATCTTGTTTGTATTTATGTGTTTGTGTGTGTGTGTGTGTGTGTGTGTGTGTGTGTGTGTGTGTGTGT